ATAAAGGTCTCCTAATCAGCCCAGTGTGTCTGTCACCTCATGACTATCACCATGAACACCTTGGTTGGTACCAATCAGTGTAGTTTTGAATTCGAGTAGTGTGAATAGTATTTTCTGCGAAATTCTGTGGAGCATACAGTTCAATCCCCTGTTTTATCCCCTTTTTAGACTGTCTTCGTCTGCCTCGCCGCCGTGGCCGCCGCCTCCCCGCAGTTCAGGAATCAGCCCCGCCAGACCTTCCAGGACGAGCGTCAGGTGGCCATCTTGAGGGACGACCGCCAGGACTCCGGCGACGGCAACTTCAACTACAACTTCGAGGCCGAAAACGGAATCAGCGTTTCTGCCTCAGGAACCCCAGGCTCTGAGGGCCAGAGCAACATGCAAGGCAGCTACAGGTGAGTTTGGTCATATCTCACTTCACTGAACTAGACTTCTATAAAGTATTCAAATTAGGCTGATATTACAGTACACAACTCCACTTTTTCCCCGACACATATCTTTAATGTATTAAATTTCAATCGCTTCTGCCAGATTCACCCTTCCCGACGGAACCATCGCCGAAGTGAGATACGTCGCCGACGAGTTCGGATTCCGCGCCGAGTCCCCCCTCATCCCCCCCCCACCCCCCCCGCCCACGCCATCGAACAGATCCGATTTGCCGAGGAACAACGACGTCGTGGAATCACCTTCTAAGATTGAAATGGACTGAAAAATGAAACACTTCTTATCAATACATATGATGATTCTGTAAATATTTATCACCATCACAATAAAACGGGCATTGTATCAAGTCTTTAAAATGGAAATCAACTGAAACCTGCCATTCATGAAGATGAAGATTTGAAATATATAATTGCATTCAAGTTACTCAGAACAAAATGAATACAAATGTAATCCTACCAACAAACAGTCTCGGTATGGAATGGACCCTGTTCATTGCCTGAAAATCTTACATACAAATATGTTTTCGAAAATTCGGTAGAATTTGATCGTTATTTTTTTCTTTTTTTACCATTGACTAGTTTAGTCCCTATAGTACAAGGTATTAACTGCCACATGTATCCTTTATTCTGAATACTAGATTTTGACACTCATACTCACAGCCTTGGTCTTCTAGACTGTGAGCCAAAAATCATAGCTTTACTGGACTATGAGGACTGTTTTTACTTTATAATAATAACATGAAATTGTGTGTTCTAGGTCAGGTTGGGGATGTTGGATTCAAATCTGCTTGTTACCACGGTCTCCGACTGCTCCTAAGGCTACCAAAAGGGGGCGCTAATCCCATTTTTGCTCATTTTGGAGTAAAAACATGTTTTACGGTTTATTTTTTTAAGTCTCTTTCTATGGATTGTATAGGAATTGGCAGATTCTTTTGTAACAACAATTCCCACGAAAACAAATGACTATTCAACACTTGGTGTGTACGTATGGGGGGTCACGAGGAACAAACCCTACTTTAAATGCTTTCTTTTTTTTCACTGCGTTTCTTTACTTTCTGCTGTGATGTTTCCTCAAAAATGAGATATACTTGTTCCTTTTTATGCCAACTTACACGTACACTCCAATCTAGACTCAAGTCCCACAGTAGGGGCAGCTGCTCCCCACTGTCTCCCTGTAGGTCCACATCTACTGGTGAAAGATAGTGGGAGAAAATAGGTTGAGAGAGAAAGGGTAAGGAAGAAGGTAGAAAGTGTGAACGGTAAACGAAATATAACGGTCGGTTTGTTAATACTGTGCAAGGCCCGACTCGATGAACATTCATATACACGGACATGCCTATACCCAGAAATAAAGGCATACCTATCAGTATAGACATACAGATCTACCGGAAAGACAGATAAATAAATGCATAACTATTACATAGATAGTCTGAAATGCACTTATTTCTGTCGATATGCACGCCAGTATATATGAATATTCGTTTTAACAAACCGGTTGATAGACTGCTACATAAGCAACAAGAATAGAATAGGCTGAAGAGAAAGGGAGCAAGGTAGAAATAGAAAGGAGGAAGTTCACAATTGTCGGAAGGAAGAAGACAGGGAGAGAGAGAAAGACAGGAAAGAGAGATACAAAGAGATGGAAAGACAGGCACATAGGCAGAGCAAAGAGATGTAAAGATAGGCAAAACACATCGAACAAAAGAGAAAGAGGAAAGAGACGAAGAGAGAAAACCTCTGGACAGTTAAATTAAAAGAAATAGGAGAAAGAGAGATAGGAAGAGATAAAGGGAAAACAAAAGTAGGAACCAGCAGATAGAGAACTACTGACAAGTATAGCAAGAATACAGAGTAACTTCTCTGTCATAAAGAAGAATCAGTATAATCCCAATTTCACTAGTCTATTGGCTCTTGTATTGTAATCATTTTGATAAAAGATTATGGAAATCACTCACTGAATAGCACGTATACTTTTTATGTGTGTGTGCTGTGTATCTGTGTGCGAATGCCTGTATCTGAATGCGTATGAACGAAAGTGAGAGTTTGTGTGCGTTTGAATGGTGGGTGAGTAAGCATGTATACTCTTTATTTTTTAGTGTATGTCGATAACTGTATCTGAATGAACGTGTGAAAGAAAGTGAGAGTTTGTGTGCGATTGAATGTGTAACTGTGTGAAGAACGCACACGAATGCCTTGAGCAGGTCGAGGAGCAAAAAATGGGGAGTTGCACAGGGAGGAGCTTCCTGGTGGCCCGCCCGACAGGTATATAAGGGTCTCCTTATCACCGCCCTGTGTCTGTCACCTCATGATCATCACCATGAACACCTTTGTGAGCATCATGCCCTGTGATTCTGAAAAACGATGATTGGGTTCATTTTGCGTGTGCATGCTTGCTTTTCAAAGGATATCCATTTCATTCTGTATTCGGTTTTATGAGTGTGCATTCTTGCTTTCTAATTTAAGGACAGTTAAAGGATAGCTCATCTTTCACTTTCATCTGAAACAACCCCACTTTCCCTTCTGTCTCAGGCTGTCCTCGTCTGCCTCGCCGCCGTGGCCGCCGCCTCCCCGCAGTTCAGGAATCAGCCCCGCCAGACCTTCCAGAACGAGCGTCAGGTGGCCATCTTGAGGGACGACCGCCAGGACTCCGGCGACGGCAACTTCAACTACAACTTCGAAACCGAGAATGGAATCAGCGTTTCTGCCTCAGGAACCCCAGGCTCTGAGGGCCAGAGCAACATGCAAGGCAGCTACAGGTGAGTTTGGTCATATCTCACTTGAACACGTTTTGAACACGTACAGTGTTCTAGCGGTACTAAATATACTTATGGTATAGTGTAGTACATATATTACATATATCCTCATAGAAATATCGATCGCTTCTGCCAGATTCACCCTTCCCGACGGAACCATCGCCGAAGTGAGATACGTCGCCGACGAGTTCGGTTCCGCGCCGAGTCCCCCCTCATCCCCACCCCACCCCCTCCCCGCCCACGCCATCGAGCAGATCCGAGTTGCTGAGGAACAACGGCGTCGTGGAATCACCTTCTAAAATGATTACTACTTTGGAATGGCTCTAAGAGTGACATTCACTTAACATCTGTACATACAATGATTCTGTAAATATTTTGCAGCCGGACATTTTTCATCATCGCAATAAAACGAGCATGATATAAAATCTCTAATTCTCCAATGAACTCAAACTTTGTATTGTGCATAATCATGAAAAGTTAACAAACATTACATTCAGGTTAACAAGGTCAAATAAGTTAATACTAACTGATTATGGGAGCAGTTTTTCGGTAAGGAATATACTCCAAACATACCATATGTCCATAAGAAAGCAGAATGGCTACTGAAAAAAATATATATTGGTCCAGGGATACTGGTGAGTTTTAGCCCCGACAAATGAACCAATATTGTATAGTCTACATTTACACTCCTAAATACTTTCTTTTTTTTTTTTTTTTTTTTTTTTGCGTTCCTTGTATATTAAATTATTTATTGAATATATAATTCGAGAAGGGTCTAACATGTTATACTGCAGATATAATTCATATTGTAATCCTTAAAATTTAAAATAAAACATGGATGAGAATTACAGGAAAATTTATTGGTATAACTCTCCTGAATAATTAACAACTGTCGATGGGTAACAATTGTCAAACACCAGTGGGTATAGACATGAAATGAGTGGCAAGAAGTTTTGACAGAATATTTTACCTTGTTTTAGTGATATGAATAGTTTGTGGGCATATTAGCAATTTCTGTGTTGCAACTTCACTTTTCGGAACTAAAATTACAAGGAAGCATCTTTGGAGGGGTGGGGGGGTTCTGCTACTCAATATTGCCATCTTACAGATGCAACTTTAGTTTTGAAAGATTTTGGGAGTGAGAGAAAAAGCAATAGAAAAAAAACAAGGTTAATGCATCTATATATACAGGCGGACTGACGGGTAAAGAGAGATTAAGAAATGTATACTACTAAAGGGGAGAATAATGAGAAAGAGAGGAAGATAGAAACAGAAAGGGGAGGGACGCAGACAGATATGTTAATAGTTGAAAAAAGGGAGACCGGAAATGAGGGAAAAAGAGAAAGACAGAGAAAAGGGAAATTAATAAAAGAGTCATGCAGGCAAATAAACATAGCGGGAGAGACGTTTAGATGGACTAATCTTTGAATATAGAGGAAGGAGGCCATGAGAGAAAAAAAAATTGGACAAGGAACCCAAAAGAGAAACTGAGAAATAGATAATCAATGCAAAAGACTGAGGGAGGAAGGCAGAATATCAAAAAGTAAAAAAGGACATAGAAAGAGAATAATTACCTGGTCATAATGAGGAATAAAATTAATTGAATTTTCATTGGCTACCGAGTATCATGTGCTCATCATTTATTAGATATTATAGCAATCATGTAATGTGCCTGGTGCGTGAGTAAGCATGTATACTCTATATTTGTGTGTGTATGTCGATAACTGTATCTGAATGAACGTGTGAACGAAAGTGAGAGTTTGTGTGAGTTTGAATGTGTAACCGTGAAGAATGCACACGAATGCCTTGAGCAGGGCGAGGAGCAAAAAATGGGGAGTTGCACAGGGAGGAGCTTCCCGGTGGCCCGCCCGACTGGTATATAAGGGTCTCCTTATTACCGCCCTGTGTCTGTCACCTCATGATCATCACCATGAACACCCTTGTGAGCATCATGCACTGTGATTCTGAAAAACGATGATTGGGTTCTTTTTGCGTGTGCATGCTTGCTTTTCAAAGGACATCCATTTCATTCTGTGTCGGGTTTTATGAGTGCATTCATGCTTTCTAATCTAAGGACAGGTAAAGGATAGCTCCTCTTTCACCTTGATCTGTAACAACCCCACTTTCCCTTTCTGTCCTCAGGCTGTCCTCGTCTGCCTCGCCGCCGTGGCCGCCGCCTCCCCGCAGTTCAGGAATCAGCCCCGCCAGACCTTCCAGGACGAGCGTCAGGTGGCCATCTTGAGGGACGACCGCCAGGACTCCGGCGACGGCAACTTCAACTACAACTTCGAGGCTGAAAACGGAATCAGCGTTTCTGGTTCGGGAGCTCCGGGATCTGAGGGCCAGAGCAACATGCAAGGCAGCTACAGGTGAGTTTGGTCATATCTCACTCCACTGTTTTGAACACGTACAGTTCTAGCGGTACTGAATATACTTATGGTATAGTGTAGCACATATATTGCATATATCCTCATAGAAATATCGATCGCTTCTGCCAGATTCACCCTTCCCGACGGAACCATCGCCGAAGTGAGATACGTCGCCGAGTTCGGATTCCGCGCCGAGTCCCCCTCATCCCACCGCCCACCCTTCCCGCCATGCCATTGAGCAGATCAGAGTTGCTGAGGAACAACGGCGTCGCGGAATCACCTTCTAAAGTTGGAGACCCAGTATCTATAAAATCTTCGTGATACAAACATCCTATCGTGTTACATATGATTACTGTATGCTTCATCGTCGTCATTAAGATCATACCATAAAACGAGCAATGTATGACGGTTTTAATTCAACAACCATTTAATTAGACAATCAAGGTACTTGTCTGACCAAACAAATGAACTTAGGGCAAAAAAAAAACGTTAAACACAAAAGATTTAAATTTTATTCACATTGGAAATCCATTAGACATTTCTCAACCAAAGGGAGACAGAGAGCCCAGGCAGTTAATTATAGTGACAGAGGTTTATATATAAATTTTATGGTAGATGCAGAAGGACAAAGATACGAAAATCGTGAGACAGGATGAAAGAAAAAAAAAATGGATTAAAAAGAGAGAAAAACACAAAAGTATGGAGGAGAGAGGCGAACGGAAATTATTGAAAGAAACGACACCCCCTTATTACCAAGAAACAGTGCGCCCGTGGAATCACATTCTAATGTCTTAGTAAATGAAATATATTTAAAGGAGATAACGTATATACAAAGATACACATACACACACACACACACACACACACACACACACACACATATATATTATATATATATATATATATATATATATAATATATATATATATATTATGTGTGTGTGTGTGTGTGTGTGTGTGGTGTGTGTGTGTGTGTGTGTGTGTGTGTGTGTGTGTGTGTGTGTGTGTGTGTATAAATATAAAAATAGATAAATAGGTAGTTAGATATATATATATATATATATATATATATATATATATATATATAAATATAAAGAGAAATATATATACATGTATACACAAACACGGACAAACACACACACACGCTTGCACACACACCGCACACACACACACACACACACACACACAACACACACACACACACACACACAGTATATATATATATATATATATATATATATATATATATATATATATATATATATATATATATATATATATATATATATATATATATATATATATATATATATATATGTTAATACAGGTAAATTCATACCGGAGGAATGCAAAGAACAAGCAAAGGACGGAAATAGGAAATTCTAAAGTGAATGTCATTGGCCAGAGATGCTTTAAAGGGGTAAGAGCCCGAGGAAAAAGCAGGAATTTCTCTAATTACATTCCGAAATCTCTATTCGTTAAGATGTAGACTGAGTGCTGCTTTCACATACTCTTTTGTTCAATAAAAATGAATTAAAGAAAAAAACTTCATTTTTTTAGATAACTTGCTTAAAGATCTGAGGTAAGCTTGGTGATAAAAATAAATAAAAATGCTGCTTTAAAGTATTCATTCATCAATAATACTCGATAAATATTGGGATATACAGCCACCAAGGAAATATTTTTCATGCATTTATAAACTTTCTCTCTACGCTCACATGCATGTGTGCGTGAATATACATACTCGGACATACATACATACACACAAAAGCACTCACACACACAGACACACACGCACACACACGTGCGCGCCACACACATGTGTGTGTATATAGAGATAGAGATAGATAGATGGATGGATAGATAGATAGATAGATTGCTAGATATATACATACATATATAAATATATCTATACATACATATATGTGTGTATATATATATGTATATATATATATATATTATATATATATATATATATACATATACGTATAGAAGTATGTATATAGACGAATATGTAGTATACATATATATATTATAGATGTGACTATCCGGATGTATATACACACACATACATGTATAGTATTATATATATATATATATATATATATATATATATATGATAATATATATATATATATTATATATATATATATATATACATACATTATATGTATATATATATATGGTATATGTATATATAATTATATTATATATATATATATGTATATATACATATATATATATATATATATATATATAATATATATATATATATATATATATATATATATATGTATATACACATAATACATATGTGTGTGTGTGTGTGTGTGTGTATGTATATATATATGTGATGATAGATAGATATAGATGATTGATTAATTTATATATATATATATATATTATATATATCTGTATGTATGTATGTATACGCATACACACACATTGTGTATGTGTGTATCTGTATGTGTAAACACATATGCATATATGTGTGTGGTGTGTTGTGTGTGTGTGTGTGTGTGTGTGTGTGTGTGTGTGTGTGTGTGTGTGTGTATGTACACGTATACGTAAATATGCAGGCTTAACTTCCTAGCGGATACAGACGAATACCTTGAGCTGAGCGGCGGCCGCGAGGGCGTCGAGGGAGGGGCTTCCAGATGTCCCAACGGGTATATAAAGGTCTTCTCATCATCTCTGCAGCTACCATTCTTATACCAACATCACCATGAACACCTTAGTAAGTAGAGCTCCCTGTGGATATACCTTGCGTGTGTATGTGTGATATATGCTTCGTGGTTCAGTAGTGGGAAACATAAACGTCTTTGTGAAAGAACAAAATAGCTTATTTATAGGTTGTCATTAAAGACCTCAAAGTGCTGTTCCTTTATAACTAAATTTTACTTTTATTTCCTTCAACCTGTCCTCAGGCTGTCTTCGTCTGCCTCGCCGCCGTGGCCGCCGCCTCCCCGCAGTTCAGGAATCAGCCCCGCCAGACCTTCCAGGACGAGCGTCAGGTGGCCATCTTGAGGGACGACCGCCAGGACTCCGGCGACGGCAACTTCAACTACAACTTCGAAACCGAAAACGGAATCAGCGTTTCTGCCTCAGGAACCCCAGGCTCTAAAGGCCAGAGCAACATCCAGGGAAGCTACAGGTGAGCTTACAAGAAACTTTTCAGTCACTGATACACTAACACACAACTACCAACGTCACACAAATCTTGTTCAGGTGAGTTAGGAAATATCACCATCGTTAACCTGCTTACATCCGGCAGATTCACCCTTCCCGACGGAACCATCGCCGAAGTGAGATACATCGCCGACGAGGCTGGGTTCCGCGCTGACTCCCCCCTCATCCCACCGCTGCCCCCCTCCCCGCCCACGCCCTCGAGCAGATCCGATTTGCTGAGGAACAACGGCGCCGCGGAATCACCTTCTAAGACCAGATCATTGACGGAATTTTCTGACTTTCTCTCCTTATGGAATATGTACTTGATGCACTGAATTGTACACTTTCTTTCTAATAAAACACATTTTCATATGAATTAGTTTTATGACTGACATTACCAAAATACTAAGATGTGAAAATGTATAAAAGTGACTAAATGGAAGAAATTTTATATTCATATCAAATGCAATTTATTTAGCAATCTACATCTGCCTGTAGTTATACGCGCACATACGGTCAAGCATAAACACGTCAGCAACGTTAAAGATATACAGGATTTTGAGCAAAAATAACAACAGTACCTTACACAAAGGACGTTAATAACCGAGGTTGGTAGACCAGTCATACTAAAGAGGGAAAATAAGGATGAACAGAATGACATCCCTGAATAAAGTAAAATATGATACGAAAAGGAATCTGGTTTATTTCATTAACACCCATGGCAGCTCTGTTATGTATCTTCTTTTTATTTGTTTGTTTGTTTGAAAACAGACTAAGTTGATTCATTCAGAATTATGACGGTGGTCACAAGCAGCCGTATGCTAAAATATTAATGAAATAACTTGATATGAAAAAAATGAACAATTATGTGATTATGACATCAAACATGATAAGTACGGTAAGGATCATTATGCACTGCAGTTACTTCGTATCATACCCATACCTTCCCATACAAGACGTGTTTGGTATAGAACTGCAAAGCTTAAAGTCAGTAGAAAAAGATCAGACAAACACACAAGCTGATTAAGCTTGCTTTAAGACACATTAGGTGGTTTAGTCCTTTTACATGCAAGTGAAAGGACACATTAGTGTAGATTGCATAGAAGACTAGAATGTTTGTGAATAATATCTACATTTTATGGTCACAAAATTATTTGGTATCACTGAGAAAAGCAGTCTTTCCCCGCTAGATTATAAAAAAAAATAAAAAAAAGAATATGAAAGTTTACCTTGGGCTGCTGGGGTATCAACAAGATAAAGATCCTAGCAAAGGAATTAGTTAGGAGTGATCTCTGTAATAATATTAAAATGTGTAAATGTGTTTAATATGCTTGCATTGGCGGGTCGAGATGTCCGAGTGAAGAATATTAAAATGAGAGAAACAAGTATTGAATAGTAGTAATTATCATCATCATAACCATCATCAGCATCACCATTATCCCCATTATCATCACCATCATCACCATTATCATCACCATCATCATCATTATCATCCTATTACCATTGCTATCATTATCATTGCTATGACCAATATTCCTTTCTTACCATGCTTTTGCAAAGAGATTACAGCTGTAGAGTATACTAAAACAGACCTCTGACCCCAACCATTGCATTGTGCTTTATATACCTTCCATAATCACCTTCCCTGCAAGTACGAATCATTATTGGTATTGATATTTGTTGTTGCTATTGTTGTTATTATTGTAGTTTTTATTATCAATATTATTATTAGTATTGTTATTGTTGCTGGCGATTTTTATTAGTAGTAGTATCACTGTAATTATTACTATCACAATCATGGTTATTATAATAATCATTATTATTGTCATTATCAACATTACTACTATTGATGATGATGAAAATAATTATAATAACAATTTTATTATATTATTATCATTATTATTATCATCATTGTTTTCATTATCATCATTTTCATTATCATTATCGTTATTATTACAACTATCATTATTATTATTATTATTATCATCATCATCATCATCATCATCATCATCATTATTATCATCATCATCATCATCATCATCATCATCATCATCATCATCATCATCATCATCATCATCATCATCATCATCATCATCATCATCATCATCATCGTCATCATCATCATCATCCTTATCATTGCTATTATTAGTATGTTTCATTATGATTATGATTATTACAACTATTATTATCGTTATCATCATTACCATGATTAGCATTACCGTTATTGTTATCATCA